AATGATTTGCAAGCGTTGCTCGTTAGTAAGTCTATTCATGATGAAATGTCAAAGCATACTGAGCATCTTTCTCTTTGACACCATGTCTGAAATCCCACGTGATCTGTCAAATACTAATGCATGAAAATCCTAACCTCAAAAAAATCACCCGTTAGCAGAAGGTTCGGCAAATAATCGAAAATAATTCAAAATTTAAACCTTCATATGCCTGAAAATATGTAATTTTTTTAATGAACTCCCGATACATGCATAACCTTATTTAGTGCATGAAAAAACTTAAGTACAATTTGTAAAAGGACGATCCTTACAATCTAATGCTCATATTTAATTGCACATACAACATGTATAACAAGTTGAATGGATAATTATCATTAGTTGTTTATTTTACCTGGCAGCAGCACCGTGCGGCTATTGGCTTCTTGTAGGACAGCGCTTGCATTGCCACCAGGCGTGAAGGCGACCAAATGCACATCAAACAGTGTACCGTTCAGTTCTACTTCCGGTATGAAATACATACAGGCGTCCTTTAATAAAATGGAAATACATAATAAATTTTGGTACATCTGTATGTATGTATAAGTATTATATGCATGTTTTGTAGTAGCGTATGGTTTTAATTTAATTACTTATTCAAATTACAATAGATATTAAATAATTAACTTTATAATAGGTGTATTCACGATTCGGTGCATAGGGTGCATAGATAGCATAAATAGAATAATTGGATAATTTTGTTGTTGTTTCATGTGTTCAAACAACAACAAAATTAGCCAATCAGCTATTTATGCTAGCTATGCACCATGCTATATAGTATGCACCGGATTTTGAATACCCCTAATGTATTTCGTGAATGGGTTAAAATTAGTATATTTGCATATATAAACGTACATATGTATAGAATATCATAATGAAATATCTGACACAATTCAAAATATTATTTGATGAATAATATTGCAAAAATTGTTGCTTTTGCTATATCTTTTGTGAGGGCCGGATTAAAGCATGGGCGACTGATGATCCGCGGCACAGGGCCGCACATTATGATAACGGGAAAATTACTTTGAAAATTCTAAATGTTCAAAAAACTTTTGTCATCAAATTTTTTTGGTAAAATCTTTCAGAGCGGCTTTTGCCAGACGCCGTGCTCTCATTTTTTTTTATTTTTTATTTTTTTTATTTTTTTTTTTATTTTGTGTTACAAAAAAGTCACAAAGAGCTACTCATCTATAGTTTTACATATTTTTGTTATACTTTACGAGCTCGCATTTAACTTGCGCTGAAATTTTCAATAAACTTTAAACTTACTTCCCGAAAACTAGGGACGAATTTCGAAGCATTTACCAAACTTGCTGTAGTGCTGTTGTTATTTCTTTGGAGGTGTATGTAAGCATGTTTAAGTACATATGTACGTACATACATACCTGTCCTGTTCTACATTTTACATTTACATTTACATTTACATTTTTTTCCTGTTTCTACATTTTATGTACAATTACTTTACCATAAATTCATCCAAATATTTTCTTACCTTATCAACATTGAAAGTATAATCTCGGCCACCATCTATATGATCCACGACCATTATCATATAGTAGCTCAGCGGATATTCAGCTCTTTGCCAAGTTATATTTAACGCGTATGTATTTTCCCGTATATATTTGCGATTTACTTTCAATCCTTTAGGTGTAAAAGGCGCTGTTTAAAGAAGTTATATGCTAGTTATTTAAAATTGCATTAATATTTCAATTTGTTTGATGACATTGTGAAATGTATTTATTTTTAGTAATATTGTATCAATACTTTCAACGATTGTAGATGAAGAAAAATAATCAGGAAAATTCAGCAAAAACAAGAAGTGTAAAATGTACAAACAGAGTACTTATACCGTCAAACCATATCCCAAAGCAAATCGCATTTGACATGTATGCTAAAAATATGGTAAGATAGGCATCACTTCGTGTTATACGCCATAAATACGATGCAGATGCCTAGTTGAAAATTATATAATGTATACATATGTATATATATGTATGGGTCATTCCATGTCAAACGGACCAAAGCTCTGCCCGAAATTCCATGCGATAGGAATTAATGTAAAGCATATCAGAAGTCTCGCAAAATTTATAATGCACCAAACAAGACGTGGCAGAATTGAAAATTCAGGGTTACGTATGTAAATGCTACGACTCTTAGCAAGCGTCATGTCCGTAAACGCGCAAATAAGTTTGTCATTCAGTTTGTTAAAGCAGTTGTCAGTTGTTAGATCAAGACGGATTCTAATGTTTTTAGGATCGCTGATCACGAATGTACCATCAGAATTTCAATATTAAAAATGGCGGATCCAATATTTTTTAAAAATTTACCGGATTCATTTGCAATTCATTATGCGTGAGTTATCGGGTTCGTTGATTACGAATTTGAATTCAGATTAGAAAACTTCAAAATGGCGGATCCAACATGGTGGACAAAAAATTCAAAATCGATTGGATGCGCTTAAAACTTTACAATTGGCGGTTCTTTATGCCGCTGACTATGAGTCCGAAATCAAATTTAAAAAATTCAAAATGGCGGATCCATATTCGGTCTACCATTTATCACATACATGGCGTATGAGTTACCCAGACTACATGAGAATGTTGAAAAATCGCCTCAGATGACAAAACTGTTTCAGTTTAAAAAAAGGGAATTAAAAATATTTAAAATCTTTTTCAACGGAATCGTAATAATGCTGTTTTTTTCACTTTTTTCAAAGATCGGTTTAAGTAAAACTTGAATAACTGCGCCAAAACTATTCCGATTTTGACTTATGAAGTATCAATGTAAAGTTATTTTCTCACTTTTTTGAATTCTTTGCAAAAAAAGACTCATTCGCTTCTAATTTGTATTTTTTTTTAATTATCAACACATCTTAACTCAACTGCGATTGACGCTCGTTCATCTTACCTTTCTCTTTCATATTTTAAATGAGTTTATTTGCGAAGAAATAAAAAGGGTGAAAAAATACAATCCAATGATACCTCACAAGCCTAAATCGGTAAAGCTTTGGCTAAGTTATTCAAGGTTTTCTTAAACCAATCTTTGAAAAAAGTTGAAAAACAGCATTCAAAATCTCATTATTATGATTCCATAGAATTCTTTTTTTATGTTTTCATGCAAATTTTTTAAGCTAAACTGTTTTGTTATCAGAGGTGATTTTTTTTCAAAGAATATTTTAAAATACTATTTTTATTCATAAAAACCTCCATTTTTGGAGGTGTTTTTACGTTGGTCCAGCTCACGCAAATCTTAATATTTTTCCGAAATATTTTAGTGCAAGTCTTAAAATATGAAATATTTCATAATTCCAATGGAAACACAGTACCGATTTGTTTTTGTATGGGGAGTGATGCAGTCTAATGTACATACATGTATTTATGTTACTGTACTCGTATACACGAAAAGCCAATATACAACCATCAGTTAGCCATCATCATTGACAGATCCGAACTCAGTCAATCAGCGGCGTTCACAAATAGAGTATGTGCAGGACAAAGCTTAAATAATAGCCATCAGCCAATATTAATGCATTGACGCGTAAGTACTAGGAACACTAGAAATGACGTAAAAAGAACCCTGCAGAAAAAATATCCCATTTGTAGTAGTTAGCTTTTTTGCGGAATTTCGATAACTTTTAGTGAACTATAAAAAGCTAACTTGAAACCAGCTGAAAAGTAATGCAGGAGTCATGCAATGCGTAATCGGTAGTTTGTAAAAAAACAAAATTGAAAAAATATTTCTTTTTGTACCGATATTTATTAGTTAGTTGACACCTAATACAGAGGTAACCACCCTTGACTATTTCGCGACCAGCGCCATACAAATACATATACTAGTCAGCTTTCCTCCAAGAAAATATACAGATAATAGTGAATTTTAGTTCCTTCCTAATTAACTTCAAGTTAACTTATAGATACATTTCCTGTAGGGAGCAATCATTACAACATACATATGTAAATGCGAGCAACATATGTATGTCTGTTAATAGCATTTGAATATTGTGATAATTTATAAATAGTTCATGGAGTAGCTATGATTTATTTCCAACAAAGGCTTATCCTGGATAAATAGATATAATTATGGAGGTTTAAGAATACATATGTACATACATAATTACCTTTAAATTCATTTACGCACATGTACGCCGCATTTATAGCGCTCACGATACACGATATGTATTTGCAAACCAAACTTTTGGTTGTCGATTTTTTCGTTTGAATACGTTTATGCTCTGCACCTCACAGGTGCTTTTTCATAATTCGGAGATACAAAACAAAAATTTTTATAATCATACTAGCACGTTGTCTCTGACGGGATTAGCATACATATAACAGCAATCATCTCTACACACTCAGCTACAGCCGCTTTTATAAATTTGTCTTTAAATGTTCAACTTGAATAAATTTTCTTCGTCGTTTTATTTGGTTCTGCACTTCACAGAGGCTTTTTCGTCATTAAGGAAAACCAAAAACCGAAAAATTAAAAAATTTAACTTATGTATCGCGCTGACAATACGCTGACAGCAAGCACCTCTGCACGTTCAGCCACTGCCTTACATACGAAGTTGTTCTCAAATATTCAACTTGAATCAAATTTCTCACAATCGGCTTATTAACCATCAAATACACAGCACAGCAGTAGCTAGATCATTAGAATGATTGGTGCAACACAATGAAAGCCGATATGGAATATTGAATCCCATTTATTCATATATTCCCCCTCCCTATGTTACGAAGCTATCTACACTGAGGGAAATAATGCATAGAAAAAATGAATACTTTATATTTCATTACCGTTTAAAAATGTTCGTATTTAAAAATAATATTTTCATACAAAAATTTGTTACGTACGTAATAGACTGTTCACATCTGAGTATGTATATGTAAGTGTAAATACTCTGGGAGAAAAATCTCTAGTTCTGAACTGGTGCGTTTCTAGTGCATTTAGGCCCAGTACTGGTTCGCGATAAATCTCTTTTGCATGAAAAGAACTGGCGAATTTAACATGGCGATGTCCTAGGAAGTATCAATTGCCCCCCCCGCTGCATCCCTTTTTCGATAGTTCCGAACCAGTTCTAAAATCGACAGACAAAAGAAAAAAAAGTATCAAAATTTGTCTATCTTTTCGGTTTTTCCGTGTGCGATTTTAAATTATTTTCAATGAATTTTTTTTCCAATTTGAAATTAAATATGTTGGAATGATTGTAAGAAATGTACGCTTGGCTGCAGGTGACTTTGTAGAGGCGCTCGCTGGTATTGGTTAGATTCCAGACGGTTCCAAGATGTTAATACGAATTTTGGTTTTGTATTACCAAGCAATGAAAAAGCATCTGCGAAGTGCAGAATGAAAGTGCATTTGAACGAAAAAGCCCCCAAATACATATCTATGTAAAGTAAACAAGCCCCCCGCTGCATCCCTTTTTCGATGCAAATTAAATATTTTTTTTTTTAGTTTTTTGTCTTGATTATTCGCTTCACGGATGCTTTTTCAGAACGAATGCGGTCATTTTAATATGCGCGTAATTGAATTGAATATTTAACAATATACAGTACTTTCGTTGACGTTTATAGTAGGATCATTTACGTTTCTATTTGATTTTAATATCTTTTTCGCTCAGTGTACGCCACTGCAGCGCAGCATTTTCCAGCTTAGAGAAGGAGGCAAAAGCGCTTGATCCAGCGGTGAATGACAAACACGACAAAGTACCTCTTGGTAACAAACAAAGTGTTTTTCCGTTTAAGGTCACACGTCACTGTTGGCAGTTACAATTTTGAAGTAGTGAAGGACTTTGTCTGGCGAGCATCAGACATTAACACCTCCAATGAATTCAGCTCGAAGATCAAGCGAGGAATAACAGTGGTTTTGATGTGTATATTTTTTTACAACCAACTTGCCATAAAGGCTTATCACCACTTAGTTGAAATTGTGTAATTTTTAATTTGTAGTTAGTGCTTCACTTTATTCGAAATTTCACACTAATTTGAGTGTCAAGCTAAAGGCTTTGATTGAATTCATTAAACAAATATTTATTTCCTATTATCTGTACGAAGTACGAACTAAATTTGGAAAAAAAATTTAACTTTCATTATGTACTAAGTAAGAGCTTGACACTCGTGTAACAATAAGTACCTACAAAGTAACCGCCCTCTCTCCTGAATGCAGAGTAGCTAAAATAAAATGTAAACGAGACTCCGATAACAAAGTAAACACAAATTTGAAACAAAGTTTGCTCAAGCATACATATTTTACCTGGTAGCAGGTATTTACATGTTTTTTAAATACATTCACACAATACATACATATATGTTGTATCAGGTATAAATACGGTGACCATTCGTCTCGATTTTGGCGGTACAGTACTAATTTTGAGAAAATTTTCCCGCTGAATATTTTTTAAAGTCGGGGCGTGTAAGTGTCCCGCTTTTTCATATTTGTACCGATTAAATCCCGATTTGCAGTGTTTGTCTTTTTAAATCTTCCTGTACTCTCGCAAAAAATTATTACAAAGAACCAGGGACGTAACAGTTATAAGAGAAATGATGAAATGGCCTTATTTATCCATTGATTAATTCAAATAATGGTTATAATCAACCATAAATTTAAGATATATTTAATTTTGGTCATCGTAACCAATATAAGTGAGAATAATTTTTTTGTTTTGGTTATGAATAACGTTTGTTGCTATAATACCAAATAATTTGTTGGTTACCAACACTCATTATCGAAAGTAATTTTATTTTTTTTTTTTGCTTTTTTGGAAAAGGCTTTAGAAGTTAGCTATTTACTGTAAAAGTTGTCATCGATAACCAAAAAGTAAAATTACCTTCGATAATGATTATTGGTAACCAAAACATTTTTTTGGTTGCTATAATAGGTTTTCTTAATAAATATAAATATTTCTCATTTATATTCGTTACGGTGACCCAAATAAAATATATCTTATGATAATGGTTAAAAATTCCCTAAAACAGACAAAGGAAATTTGACATTAGTTAGATTGTAAAAACTAATACAAATTCTCTCAAAAAATTCATGAATATGAAAAATATATGTAAGCTGTAGATACAGTGGCGGAAATATGTACATATATGTAAATAGGGAAGAAGCATTTTAGCATTCTTTGCCTATTCCCCTTTCGACTATTTAATGTTTATTATTTTTTTTATGAAAGTGTGGCTCCTTATATAACAAAAAAAACCATGTAAATCAAACTTTGTACAAAAATTACCAAAATTCGATAAAGTTTCATAAAAATTGTGAGCTTTTAAATTAGATGTCTTAGAAACATTTTGAGTATGCCCATTCCATTCGTTTTAAAAGACTCTAAGGCCTTTAATGCTACCTGAATATCCGACATAATATTTATTCTGGCCTCATTTGCCTTCTACGATGACATTCGGGAACACAGACTGCGATTGCGAAGATCTCCGCCTGGAATATGGCTGGGCACGAGCCCAATGGTAGAATAGGTGCCAAGTCCATTTTCTTTTCAAAGTCTAGTTTTTTATGCAGAATGGCAGTTTATACCAAAACTACATCGATTTTTCGTCTCTCCTGAAGAATTTTATAAAAATGGACTTGGTATCTTTTAACCCTTAGGTGGCGATATGGGGATGTTCGTATTATATATTGACAATTATAAGGGTGTACGTTTGTACTTAGGAGTCAGGTATATTTACATCTTTGCGGCCGCCGTTATGCGAACGCTCCGGTGAAATATTCGTGTAAAAAGGGTTGCTAAAATATTTGGAGATACAAATTTTCTATTTTTCGCAAATAACTTTTACTCATTGTCCCGAAACCTACCAAAACCCAATCAATCCTACCAATCTACCAAATGGAAAAAAACCTACTAGTTTTGGTAGGAAAAACCCATGTTTGACAACACTGAATTTAACCATAAAAATTATATCAATCCTTTCCCTGCGACTGACAAGTGTGCAGGAAGGTTAATAAGTTTTAAGCGACACATTTAATGTGGAAGATTATATTGAGAATCCCATCGGAAATTTCTTAAGGCAAAAAGTAGGAATTGCTTTGAATTGATTCTATCTTGGCTGAGTAAATATGATTCCTTGGATTCCAAACCACCGAACCGTGTTCCAGAATCGGTCTAACTTATGTTTTAAACAGTGTTTCACTGATGTAAGGTCACAAAAGTAGTATTGAAAAGTTCGATTTTCGAAAATAAAAACTGCTTTCGAAAGTTACTTTACTTGCAAAGTGTAACTACTCTTTTGGAAATGATGGAGTTTGACGGACTTTTCAAAAGGCTTTGCACTTGCCATGTCTAACAACTACATATACACACATATGCATATGTACATACATATATATACCCAGTTCTAATAAGGCTTCCAAAAAGAAGGCCTTATTGAAAAATCAATTCCTGAAGGCTTTTGTTTTCAATTGCTCCTCATTTCGCCGACTGGGAACGAAGCCATATTCGTACGATTTCAGTGAGATAGTGTTTGTAATGGCGCTGGCGCTAATAACTACAAAAAATAGAACTTTTGTATATTTTATCAATTTTTATAAATTGTTACATATTTTACCAATAAATGCGGCAGTAAATTCAATTTATTTTTCTTTATACCAACCACAACCACAAATTTAGTAAAAGCACTTATTTTTTGGTGCAATACGGCTAAAATTGTACATGGATAGCTTTAAAGTAATGTAAAAGTTTTTTCTTTTTTATTTAACTTACGGCAAATGCTGAAATTGTATTTGTACCATTCCGCACAGGATGGGGCCTGTATGTTGAACCAAACCATTTTACTCTCTTTGACGGAATTGTTCGTATTTTTGGCGCGTATGCCAACCTTGTAGACGGCCGAAAAAGTTAAATTCTCCAAAGTATACGTGTATAAGTAACGTGGCTGTTTTCATGGAAAATTGCGACAGGACGTTGAAAAAGTAGCCAGGTTGAAAGAGTTGCGGAAAATAAAAAAAGTTAAAGTTTTCAGGCGTTGAATTATAAAGTATATATGTACATAAATATCGTGACATTTGGATAAAACAATCTAAGTGACTTTAGAAGGTGAGACTTTAGTTTAAAACAGAAAACGTTTTCCCTAAAAAAATATATATATGTATATTTAGATCAAGCTTCCATTAAAAGTCCTTTTTAAACTACACTTATGGCTAGGTAATGTTTAAAATATTGTTTGGTAACCCAATAAAATATTTCTTGAAGGGGAAAATGGTTTAACTCAAGATAGGTTGTTTTATCAAAATGCCACAGCTGTGCTCATGGTAAACTATTAATTTTTACATTTTTAATGCTTAGAAAACAGTGGCCTTTTTATATATAGTGAAACCTCGTCATAACAAACCTCGATAGAACAACAATTTCCATATAACAAACGTTTTGCTGAGGACTCTGAAAAAATCTCGTTGTTGTTAAATTTTTCATATAAAAATGCTGCATTGATACAACAAAAACGTTTTTTACATGAAAACCTTCGGACTATATTGACATGTTAAGGGCCGTTTTCTAGACTGCCTGTTAAAGATAATCGGTGATTTGATTGCCTGTCAATTTGTCGCTCACATGCTTATAACACGCGATCGATAAAAAGTCGATAAAGCAGACCGGCCATAAATTTTTAGTAGGCAGTCGAGTAAACGGCCCTATGTCGCGTTAGCAAAAGCCTCTATATATAAAGAAGTGCACCACCCAGCAGTATCAAGTGTCAAGTGCAACAACGCGAAAGGCTAAGTGTCCAGTGTCTGTCAAATGAGATGGGTTGCCTATACATTTGATATTGGCACATGGTAAACAAACATGGTATGTAATACCATACTTAACAAAAAGAAAAAAAGGTGTGTAAATTTATCTATTGCAAATTGGTTGAAACATGTCACTACGAACCTTTAAACCCTTATGGAAAGTGCTTCGGTTTTCGGTTCGGATCAAACATTTGTGAAAAATTGCAGTTTGGTTAATGGTAAAGAAAAATTGTAAATGTTCATTTTGCGATCTTAGATCTCGAACTTTAAATAGACATAAACAAAAATGGTAACCAATGCACTTGGCCCGATTTCCAACTACTCCAAATTTATGAAATTTGTTGCATTGTATTATGTTTGAAGTAAATTCTTAAAACTTCGTATGCCTAACTATACATTTAACATAATTGAATTTGCGGTCAGAAAAGTGTTAACTTTGAACCATTGTACAGGAAATTTCTTATAAGGTATGGCGATATCCCGTTGGGGCTTGACTACCCAGCACTGATACTTACCTTTGGGGATTATTTAATTTAGTCCCTAAAATAAAAGCTTTAAATTTTTGCAGTGTAGCCGAAAAAACTGCATATAAATACAAGTACACATACTGACTTACCAACATTCTCATCTAATAAAGGGTTTGCTTAGTGAATAATAGCTACTCATATAGAATATTACGTTTGCATATGTATGTATGACTCTAGTTTCATATACATATGCATAAATTGAAATCTTTTAATACTCACATTACGTATTTCCATGGGCATCATGTCAGATCCTTGATTCTCATCGAAGTAGAGTATAATATAGTGGCATGTTTGGTCTTTGCGCAAAGAGAAGAGAGGTGAGAATGTAGAAAATGTAATAAATAACACAAGAAATTGGCTAACTGCATGGTCTGTTATAAATATACCTTTTCGCTTTGTCCGCTTTGGACTTCATATCTTTCATTTATGAAACTTAACACTAAATATTTACTCTACATACATACGTACATGTGTACTTACATATATAGAGACATAATATGCATATGTGTTTGTACTATGTATACCAGATGTTTATTTAAAATGCTTAACTTTAACCCATACCTTCTGGTGGCTTCCAAGTAATTTCCGCCATTAGATGCATTTCACTCGTTTCATCCGCCAAAAACCGTTTCAAATTCATTTCACGCACCACGCCAGGCGTATAATCCTGTTCTAAAGTCGTGAATTCTTGCGCTCGTGCTACAATGGAATATTCATGTTTGGCATTCACTGCCACAGCAGAAATGGTGTAGGTGGTGGAATTCCTCAAATCAGTTATTGTGAAGAAGTTATCATTTGACTGACAGGGAGTTTGTTGAAAAAAGAGAATAGAAAATGCAAATTAAATAGAAATAAGTGGCAAGAAAGCTTAATTTATTAGTGAAATTTGATTAAACCTAGACCTTTTTCACCCTTTAAAATTTACTAATATTTACTAAACTGCTCCTGTGGAGTTACAACTTTTTAAATAAAAAAAATTTTAATTTTGAATTTTTTTTGAAGTGCTAGAACTTATACGTATTTAACGGATTAATAACAGATTACCCAATAAAACAAAGGTTATTTACTTTCAACTGTTCGTAATCAAACCTCGCAATTAAATCATTAATCAACTTTCCTATGAGCTAGAGTCGTCAAACCTCAAACTTATTTAGCTCAGAATATGATGGCAATGCAATATGAAAGATGAATTAATCCGCTAGGTGGCGCAGGCATCAAGATATTTGAAAAACTCATACCTATGGTCCAATATAGTTCATATTTGGAATGTATGACGCATATACTTAATCGACATAAGGTCAACTGTAAACCGGTTGCGGCTTTTTTGACAGATATTTCATTGAAAATTATTTCGACTTTATTTTGCCCATGAATATGCTCATAAATCAGTAACGCGAAAAGGAATAACTTCACAGAAATGTTGGGCCTTAAAAGGTACAAGGACTCTTGTTATCTTATTTAATTGTTACTTGGAAAATTTGTCTAAAACGGAATGAATAGATTTTATAATTTTCCATAGAAAGCTAAAAATGTGTAAAAAAAATTGATTTTCTAATGCAAGAATTTTAAGTTTAACCTAAGTTGGTTGCCTCAAGCTTGGGCCACACTTGAACCTTAAACAGTTGTACACTGCGACACTAAATATTGCTGGTTAACTGTTCCGCTATAGAGAAAAGGCTGCTTAAAAAGTACGCAGCAAACTCCATAAGGCTAGGCGGCTTAGAACATAGGGTGTCACAACCACCCACCAGAGTTGAGAGTTGTGTGGTTTTCTATTAAGTGTAGCCTCGGACAGAAACATCTTACAGTTGGGCATACCCTAGTTTTCGACCAGCAACATGAGGCCTGTGTTTTTAACCCTTGTCCACAGGTCGACAGACGTTTTTCATTCTCTGTTAGGCCGCCTCGAACGCACCGTTCTTTGAAAACTCATCTAGCTGGCATAAGAACTCCTTTCATACTAGGTGGGATAGTAGAAACTTTTTTTCGCTACTCAGTCTAATATAGATATGTACGTATATATCTATCTCGTTAACGTTAAGCGAACAAAGTGATAATTAAATGGGCCACAAAGCTTCTCGTATCTCTTAAAAGGCAGGATGCTTGGCTCCTGCGCGGTGTACTCACAGAAAACTATTCGTTGGATTCGCATGCCTTTAAATTGTCTCTGGGCAATGATAAAATTTACAGAATATGCAGAACGCTTGGAAAGAGAATTATACACATTTTCTGTGACTATCCTGCTCTTAGCAGCCTACGAATTGGTCTCTTGGGAGCAAGCTTTCTGCCGAATTCGGTGGAAGCAGCCAAAATAGGGAAATCACACTTAAAAAAGCACATAGGTCCCTCCATTTTTGTATGAACTTCAATACACCCACCACAAATTGGAGAAGAAGCTCAGCCAAATACTTAGCAAAAGTGTAAGCGATAAAATATTTTTATTATTAAGGCATTACATTTAAATAGTTAGCATTTATTTAAGAACGAAGTATCCAACAAAATACACTAACGGATTAGGTTGAAAATCATAAAGCAACCAAATAGTTAAATCCTATATACTTTAACCGAAATAGCAATATACAAGATAACTAAAAATTTTGAACATTACTACATCGCTCTTCATTATAACGGGTGATTTTTTTGAGGTTAGGATTTTCATGCATTAGTATTT